TTGCTATTAGCGCATACCACCACTGTTCTTTCTCGAACGAGACCATAATTATGGAAGTCTAACTTGCTTCTGTAGACGTACACGATAGCTTCAATATCCATGAACCAACTTCGGGCCGCCATTACCCGTATAAGAGAGTAAATCATGATAAATCCTACAAGACCCACGTTTTCTACCAAGTGAGTAATCTCTTCGACTATGTTTGTTGATCCATGTGTAGGATCAGATGTGGCATTTCTGATTCTTTTTTGTTGTTGTTGATGGTTGGTTGTTGTTAATCACTTCTTACTCTTGAGCTAAATTTTCTCTTTGACTAGAATCCCCTTCTGACAGCAGTTGATGCACACTCAATCCGACTTTACCCCACTTGTCCTTGCTGCGAGTCTCCTCCTCAATTCGAAGGTGCTTCAACAAACCATCCATTGATTAGTCATTGACCTTGTGCATCATCCTCTTAGATAAGTCTTTCTAGGATGTTGTCTAGTTTGTAATAATCGCACCCATTTGGAAGAGTTCTAGTAGAGAAACAAAAAGTGTAGTCAACTCGTTGACTAAGACCCGAACCCCATGCACTTGGTTCAAGACGGGTCTTTCGTCGACCATTTGGAAGTCTAAGTACTTGGACACTAGGCACTTGTTCGTACCAGAGACAACCCAAACTTTAATTATTTAATAGCTATGGTTGTTAAAAGTGTTGGGTTTTTATTCAAAATCGGGTTTCCAAAAACACTAAAAACGACAAAAAAAAAAGTCTAAAATTATGAATAAGCTTAAAACTCTTTTTAACCCACTAATGATCATTTTACAATCAAGGAAAAATTAAATTAACCATAGAAAGAAAAATGTTATAACATTTGAAGACTTTGATTATCTTCTATGACTTCGAAAAGTTTTCTCTAATAAATTGTCACTTCTAAGTCTTTGCTTTTGAAATCCTACTATACCTGACATCAGGGGCGGAACACGAGCATTAGAAGTTTAGGGGCCGAAACCAAAATTACGAAATTCAAAATTATTACATGTTTTCTTTTATTAAAAATGTCAAAGTTAATAGTTTTTTCATCTAAATTTATATTATACAACAAAATTAACTAGAGTTAACAAACAAAATATGAAATAACATTTCACAATCAAGTTACATGTAACAAATATAGAAAAAAAAAACTAACAGTTAAAATATATTACATATGATTTCTATAAAATATGTGTAACATTGTTATTATATGAACATAACAAATAGTAATTAACTTTTTGCAGCTTTATTGCTTTAACAACTAAGGGTCCGTTTGTTTACCTCTTGATTGCAAAATTAAGAGGCAATGTCTTAAAAATTCAGATTCAGATCGTTTGTCTACATCTTAATTTTTACCTCTTAAAACTATATTTGCCTCTTATTTTTTCAGATCTTGAGCAGGGTCTGAAAAATAAAAAAAGAAGTTGCGTACCTATTTTGCCCTAATACCCATCGATTGTTTTCTTCCGTTTTTCTTCCTTCGCATCTGCTCCCGCTGTTCTCTTCACCAGCAAGGATCCGACGCCGCCTTCAATCTTCCCCGTCGACGACGCTTCTCCCTGGAACGCCGCCGCCGCCACCGAACGTCCTCCCGCCTCCCGCCGACGCTTCATGTATGTGGTTCTTCCTCTTAAAATCGATTTTCTTTGCTATTCTTCTTTCTTCCTTCTTCTGAAAATCGTTTTCCTTGCTGCTCCCGAACCTGGAAATCAAAAATCAACATCATCTTATGTTATTTGTTCTTGATTTGTTAAAAAAACGAAATCAGGCATGTTATTTGTTTCTGAAAATCGTTTTTTTTCTATTCTTCTTTCTTCCTTCTTCTGAAAACCGATTTCTTGCTGCTCCTAAATCTGAAAATCAAAAATCCAAATCATGTTATGTTATTTGTTCCTGATTTCTTCAAAAAACGAAAAAAAAAATTATTTCCCTGCTATGAGTTCCTGATTTGTTATATGTTGATGTAACATCCCGAAATTCAGGTACAACTATTTAGCCCTTCTTTTATTCAAAGTGTCAAGTTAAGCCCTTTAAGAGGAATTGGTAGCAAATGAGTACGCTGCGCGTACTCATGCGCTTATTTTGGACGCGGACTCGCCTGAGTACGCTGGGCGTACTCAGGGTTACGTTGGGCGTAATGTGTCCAGGTGCAAACCCTAATTTCTGACTTGTGCCCTATATATTGGATGCTAAGGCTCATTTCTCAGCCTCCATAGCAGTGAGTAAAACCCTAAGAGAGAACTTTTCATCGTTCTTAGTGAGTGTGTGTGATTTTGGAGCTAAAAGTGCCTTGGTGTGCTAGTGAAGAAGAAGGAGAGGAGTTTGTGGAGACTAGAGTTTGAAGTGCAAGTTTGGATCTGAGATCTACAGAGGAAGGAGCTGCATTTGGAGGTATAAATTTCCTTTTCATTTGGTTTGTTGCTTCATGGACCATTTTAGGGTTAAAAGTCCCAAAGGTGGAGACTTTATGAGTGTAATGTGCTCCATGGACCTAGATCTGTCCCATTTCAGTGGTATTTGTGTTGTAGATCCATAAAGTTCCCATCTTGGTCGTGGATATGAGATCATGCTTGAGTATTGGGCTTTCTAGTGTTAGGAAATGGTATATTTTGGGTGTTAGTGACTTGTTCAGCCATGCAAAGGCTTAAAGTCATTGACTTTATGGATTAAGAGGCTTAAAAATGGTTAGATCTAAAAGCTGGACGTGAGTCTTAACTGTTTAAGACCTCAAGAGCTAAGGGACTGAAACTGGGATTTACGCCGGGCGTAATCCCAATACGCGCGGCGTACGGGGTGGCGTTCCCCGATTCTGAGAGACTGCCGGGTACGCCCAGCGTACACATCTGGTACGCGCAGCGTAACCCGGAGGGTTGACTTTTGGTTGACTTTTAGGGTTTGGTCTATAGTGGGGCCTTTGAGTTATGAGAGGGGTAAAATGGTCTTTTACCCTTCTGAGAGTACTAAGAGGAGGAATAGTCTAGCCTTGAGAGATGTATTGATTGAGAGTATTTATTTTACATGATTAGGCGGAGGCTAGACCTGATTTTACAGAGTTCGAGCTTTACCGAGTTACCCGAGGTGAGTCTTCTCACTATACTTTACCTAGAGTGGTAATTAGAGCTATGAGACAGAGTATGTTGTATGCTTTTGCATGATGTGATTTGTATGTGTTATATGCTATGTATGTTACAGAGTTTTCAGAGTTAGGACCGGAAGGTCCACAGAGTTAGGGCCAGAGGGTCCACAGAGTTAGGGCCAGAGGGCCCACAGAGTTAGGGCCAGAGGGCCCACAGAGTTATGGGACTGGAGGGTCCCACATAGACACCTTGACCAGAGGGTCATCAGAGTTATAGCCTCGAGTGGCTAATATGTGTTGTGTGTGGTATTTTGGGGAACTCACTAAGCATTTATGCTTACAGTGTTGTGTTATGTGTCTCAGGTACCAGCGAGGATCGCGGGAAGGCGCCGGCTTGATCAGTACACACACGGGGAGATTTTTACTATGATCTTGGGATATGATGTTATGATTGACTATGTGATACAATGGTGTTTTTATAACGATTATGAATGAAAATGTGTTTTATAAAATGTGAAAAATTGTTTTGAAAATTTGGGTGTTACAGTTGATGTTATTTGTTCAATGTTGATGTTATATGCTGAGTTTGATGTTAAATGAACGAATCTGAATGTTTTCAATGGACATAATGAAATGTTGATATGTTCTATTATTATGTTTGATTTCCCTGTTATGTTTGATTTTTTATATTCAATTGTTTATGTTCAATGTTTTTATGTTCTATTATTATGCTGAAATGTTGTTGAAATCATATTTGTGTTTGATGTTATAGTGAAATCATATATGTTCTTGCTGTTATTAGGAAATATGCATTAGTTTTGCTGAAAATGTGTATTTGCAATGCATAACTTGTTGCTAAAACATACACCAACACTCGTGGATTTATGACTCCTTACCGCAACATGAGGTATTGGTTAGCCGATTATCGACGACGACGTCCGTTAACTAAGGAAGAAAAATTCAATTATGCACATACGCAACTCATAAATGTTATTGAACGTGCTTACGGTGTTTTGAAGACGAGATTCCCAATCATAAAACGAATGGCTCCTTTTCCTTTTTCAGTGCAAAGAGATATAGTCGTTGCTTGTTTTGCAGTCCACAATTTCATAAGGAAATGCGATATTCATGATGAGTTATTTATGGCGTTCGAGGAGAACAATGCTCAAGCACAAGGTGGAGAGAATGATGGACAAAACGTACACGATATGGAATGGGGTTCACAAGGCAATGAATACATGGATAATTTGCGTGACCAGATTGCGAATCAATTGGGATAAAATTAAATTTGTAGGATTTTATTGGGATTTTATTATGATTTTATGGATTTAAAAATATTTATGTTTGATTTGGATTTGTGTTTAATTTTGATTTATGATAAATTTGGATTTTATATGGTGTTTATATTTTTTTAAATACATATTTAACAAATTTATTAGGTTATTTTCTAAATAAACAATTGAATTCAATAAAAATAAAACAGAAGGGTAAAATGGTAATTTTAATAACTCAGCACAACAATTCAGAGGTGCCAACCAAACAGCATGTTAAACATTCAGCTCTTAAAATTTCAGATCCTCTTAGAAATTCAGATCTCTTAAAAATTCAGATCTTAAAAATTCAGATCCTGCCAAACAGCCCCTAAGACCTATAACTTCACATTTCTTTTCATCATATCTAAAGATATATAGAAAAGGAAAGACCTTAGAGAGAGAAAGAAAGACTGACTTACAAAGGTGCAAATCCGACAAGAATAGGAGACATTGTCGAGGCTGAGAGGAAGCTAGAGAAGATGGAGGTCAACAAAGGTTCGTCTGAGAGGAAGCATCAGTCACAAATGGTGCTGGTCGGAATAGCAATCGCCTAACGACGGATAGAACTGAAGAGTGACAAAGACAGAACGCCTGAACAATGGAGATGAAGGGCAAATGGATAGATGGAGTGGTTAACACTCCGGCCACGGTGGTGGTGTTTTCCGATGAACATATTTTTTTCCAGTAACATTGATATCATTTTAGTTTAGGGCTTTGTAGTCTGGTATTGATAATTTTTACAGTTATTTGATTTCTTTTTATATAGAGTTTGTTTCCTAATTTTCCTAATAATCTATTGTTATCCTAACTAATATTAGGATTTGTTTTGATTTCCTTCCGAAATTTCGTGGAGTTTTTTGTTGATTACTTTTTGATTTTCTAACACTACTAGAAAAACAGCTTTTAATGACAGACGAATTACGACGGTCGAAAAAGTTTTTTCATAAAAATTATGTCAAGTCTTATAAACATGTGCGTCTAAAATAAAATTAAAAAAAAAAACCCAGCTTATTTCTTCATAAAACAATTAGGTCGTCCTATACTCCCACTTCGTTCAAAACGATATCCGTGTTTCATTCTTAACCTCTATGCCTTACACGGCCCTCACGAAAACGAAATCCACCGACGATTTAGGGTTTCTCCACCGGTGTTGTGCCCACAGGCTCTCGGCAATGGACTCCACCACTCTCCGCCTCGCCATTGCCACCACCGGTCTCTACCTAATGAAATCGCTCGGTGAATTTAGGGGTTCTCTGTTCTTGTATGCAGCACCACCATCCACGTACGTTGGGCATTGCGATCTAGGGTTTGTTTAACACATCCCGAGGTATGTTTTTTCTCCTTATTACCATTGTCGACATTCCATTGATGCGATTTTAAGGCTTCTCTTTTCTGTGTGTTAAGAGCACAAGTTTTGAGAGTTCAAACACGAAATACTGATTATCTACTCAATCTATCAGTTTATGTTGATTGGAAGAAAGCATTGCAATCTTAATCAATCGTTTTCAGGTTTAATCGTATGTATCTATATTATGTTGTTCTTTTGAACTCTTATATCTTCCCCAGAACCAAAATCCATCAATTTCAGTCTAGTGTTAACTATTATACCTTTTTAGTGTAGTGTGATATCCTAAATATTGTATCTTTCATTATTTTTGCTATGTATGATTGTTACATCAGCTTTAATAATATGGAAAGGGCTGATGTGCATAACTGGTAATGAATCACCTGCTATTGTTGTGCTTTCCTCTTTGTGCTTCGGTTTTTTAAGCTTTCTAAAATGTAGTAGCTATAATTGTAAGCAACTGGTCCTCTTAATTTTAGAAATTAGGGGTTCAACAATAGTCTAGTGCTTCATATTGGAATAATTTGCGTCTTAAGTCACCTGATTACCAATATATCTCAGTGTACATGTAATTGTTGAATGTTCTTGTGCTTATCTTGGTAGCCATTATAACTCTAAGTTTTGTATACATATATATATGTCATAAGTTAGTATGCATCTAACACAACTTTACTAACCGAACCATTTCAGGAAGAGCATTACACTTCAAAGCTACATTTCACCTGCCATCATGTCTCATGTTTGCTTGGATACCCTCCTAGAGGCAGCAAGATTGTATTCATGAGTTATAAAGATCATGTTGGCGAACTAAGAACCTCAAGTTCACTTGTTTAGTTTCTGTTTTCCTACTTATGCCCATTTGTTCTTCTACTACATCATATCATATTTCACCAAATACCCTTTTCCTTGTTTGCAGATCCAAAAGTTTGCCTTGCGATTCTCACAAGTGATGAGACTGAGAGATATATGAATTTTATAAAGGTTCAAACCTTGCCCGCTCCTCTTGGCATGCAAACACATGTAATTATATAAACTTCTCTTTTACATGATATCTTTGGACATTAGAAGATTGACCGGTTAACTCCTGATATCCCTGAATCCAAAATCTCATCTCAATCTGAGATCTTTCCTTCTCTTCAACCGATAGGTGGAAACTAAATACTTTCTCTAAGAAATTATTGACTTTTTGAGCAATATAATATATATGGATTCTTGTAGTAAACTGTAAACTAACCACTCTTCTTGTGAAAATGCTAGAGATGCCAAAAAGAAGATTGTACTTGGTCTCTGTTGTCCAAATTCGCCATCTAAAAAGTAACTTTTCTTTGTATTTTACTATTTTCCCAAGTAGGAAGGTTTGAAAAGTCAACTCCTCACTCTTTTTTTTCAGGTCAACACAGGAGTGGGGCCCAATAAGCTCTTCTCCAGCCTATAGGTAAGATCAAGAAATATGGAGTAACTCTGTTACAAGTCTTAAATATTATTGCTTAGCGATTATAACAAAATATAAGCATATGATCTGAGATTTAAGTTGTTCATTTAAAATAACACAGAAATGGGCAGTTGACATAAATCAGCATGCGTGTGAAAGTCTGAAGTTAAACCATACTGAGACTCATGTGAGAAATGAAGCAGCTGAATACTTTTTATCTTTGATTAAAGAATGGGAAAGCTTCGTAAAGATTTCCATTTATTGGGCTCACATAGTGATGAAAATACAAACACGAAATCTGAAGAATCAGATTCTGAAGAGAATGAAGAGAAACCAAATCCTTCTAATGATGAATTTGAAGTTGGAAAATTGTTAGCTGTTTATTATGGTGATCCAAATAACGTCAACAACAAAAAACTACATTTCAAGGTATAATTTACAATCTTTATCATGATTCAAAAAAGTCAACTTGTGTTGACCATTTGGCAAGTTTTGAAATATATATGATACTTAGGAACCATTTGATGGTTTAAGGTACCCTTTTATGTAATTTTCCACTCCAATATTTCCAAAAAAAGTAGTATTTAAATCATTACATGAAATCGTAAGTGTTTTCTTTTGTAAATTGTAATAGCAACTGCATGGATTCTATAAAGGAATTTGTAAGCAAAGGGTGTCTTGTCTTGTGATTGTGCAGATTGGGAATGCTATGATAGATGACAACGCAACTGATGAAGGGATGTATGATTACTACTGGACACATGCTCTAAACTCCGATGAGACAAATGCAAGGATCAACGAGTATTGTGGCTATGGTTCTGGGAATTTCTCAGCAAAGTGTTTTCATTATCAAAGCCAATCAGGTAGTGAATATGGTGAGATTGATATTTACAACATCTACACCCCATTCTGTGACAGAAGTATCCAGAAACCTGCCACTGGATCTGTAAGTCTCCGATTTCTTTCAAATAGAGGAAATTGCAATGTACTTTTGTTTAAAGAAATGATGTGTTGAATTAGGTCAAGAACTTTGATCCTTGCTCTGATGATTATGGCTCCTCATATCTGAATCTAGCAGAAGTTCAAGAAGCTCTTCATGCAGGAAATACCTTATGGGGATTTTGCGCGTACCTTTTCGTTTCTTTCTCTAAAACTAGGATTCCATTATTCCATAATAAACAAAAATCAATGAAAGTATATTGTTATTTCTTGTATTTGACTCGTGATTTTATGTGCAGTGGTATAGGAATGATAGACAACCCAACAACCATTTTGCCTATTATCACTCATCTTATTGAAAATGGAATTAGAGTCTGGATATACAGGTAACTCAATCTAGTCTAACACCCAATCAGTTATTTCTTGCTTTTAAGGTTCATTTTCCATAAATAAGTAGAAGTAAGTTGTTATTTCTTGCATTCAGGCCTTTTTTGGTTATAAAATTCACGAAATAGAAACATACTTTATTGATTTGACTTGGGAAAAAAATAATTTACTCTTTTGCAATGGTTCATTCCATTAAAAGTTGCATAATGGGTCATTTTGCAATGTTTATTTCCTTTCCATTTCATGTTGGAATGAAAAGAAACAAACCAAAACTATGGAATGAAATTGAACAAAATGAAAGGAATCATATTTTTTTAAGAATGGTTGATTCCATTCCAGCAAGCTAAACAACATTATTTAAATCGAATGTATGAACATTTTCATTCCAACCTTGATTCCATCATAATAAACTAAAACGGGACATGACCGAATAAGCTTTGTAGGCCTTTCTCAATGAAGGGCATTCACGTCTTTTGTAGCATGTTTGATTACAATTGAAAGTTAGAATATAAAGTACGATGATAAATTTGGAATATGAAAGTAAAATGTTATAATAAGAAAAAATTAAAATATTTAGAAAAAGAAAAGGGACAATTATTTGTCTTGATTTTAATTTGGTTTTTTGGTTTTTACAGTGACCATTGGGTGCTAGTAGTACTAGGCCTGCCAATGTTGATACACAATTGAAGCTTGATAAGGTAAGGTGTGTGGAGATTTGGGCTACTTATGTCACAACATTTATTAGTGATACATGTATTTGACAATTACTTTTTGATTAATTTGGAACATAATTTTGTATTTGACAATATGGTTTGTGTAATGGATTGTTTTTTCTATATTTATGATATTTTATTTTGTATTATGAGACATTAAGTGTGCATTTTTGTTTGATATATATATATATATATATATATATATATATATATATATATATATATATCGTAAAATTATGTAAAAACTCATGACATACAAAATATGTCGTAATAGTAAGTCGTAAAATGTCTGTCCAGCATTACAAACATGTTACAAATTACGACATACAAAGTCAGTCGTAAAATGTATGTCGAAAATACGTGTCATTTATGGTTGTCATAATTGTAGGTCATGAAAGTCCATCGTAAATTTAATGACAGACCAAATGCCTGTCATTTTCAATTATGACATGGCTTTCCTCGACAGACAAATGCCTGTCATGTATATGTATTTATGACAGACAATGTTTGTCAAGAAAAGCCTTTTTTCTAGTAGTGTAATTTATAGCTATTCTTTGTTTTTGTAATTAAAAAGTGGTATTTTTTTTTGAATTAACGTATATGCATATATTTACATTAAAACTGAGGGGGCCAAAAAGATAGTAAAAGAACAAACCAAACACATGCTTATATGAATATATGTAATGCAGGTATTAGATAAAAAAAGCCCCATAAAGGATCCGCCACTGCCTGACATTTAAAAGAAACAATATGTAAATCGAATTGCTCGTGAGTTGCATGGTTTTAAGACTCGTCAAAATTATTTTATTTAACTCATACTTTGACTTTTCAAAATACTTGATAATAACTTATATCAAACTCTCTTCCAAAAAAAAACTTATATCAAACTCCATGTAATGAACTATAATTACAGAGCATGTTTAACACTTCCAATATAACTTATACTAAAATCAATCTTCATGCAAATATATAAGATACATAATGCATTATCATAAACCTTTCGATAAAACTTGTTCCCAAACAAACTTTATAAAAAATAAACAAAATCACTTGCATGATCTTACACTAAAAACAAATTAAATAAAACTTACGGCTTCTCCCATCGTGCAAATAAAACACTTTATACTTTGATAAACTCAAGTTCTCATGAAGATAATACAGTGTAGGTATAATCAAATCATTAAACAATAGAAAGCATATGGGTTCTCCCCGTATATCGGATTCTCTCCGATAAAAATGATCTCACGGATTATCTCTGTATTTTACCAAAATAAGAAGAATAAATCAACTCACTAAGGTATCGTTGGTCTAGGCATCTACTTCAAGGTGGGAGGTATGATCCCAGTAGAGCCTTCTGTTCACGTTATGGGGACATTTTTCTAGACTATCTCAAAATGAATGCATTTGTGATTTGAAGGCTTGATTAGCCAAAACATTAAAAAATCAATCTAGCTTGGTATGTCTTTAAACATGAGTCTCGTGGCAATGCTTAAATCAAAACATCAACATATATTAAACTTCAAATTTTCAAGCAAACTTGAACCTTTATTAGTTATTCATAGTAATGAACCAAATCAAAAGCCATAGTCTCGAATACTTTAAAACTTATGACAAAGATTCACATATTACCTAAACAATAAATAAAATTCTTATGTGTAAGATGTTTCATGAATTCATAATAAAAGTTCCTAGAAAATAACTAATATATAAAACTCATTTCATATTATACAATTACTCAAAACCACATCTATCAACATTTTTCATGCTTGCAACAAATAACTTAAAACAAGTATCATGACTCTTATATGAAAATTAACATTAATTCATAGAGAATAACTTGTTATCCATGCATCTAATGATAAAAATCCACATATACTCACATCGATAGTTAGGTTGTCGGACTATGTATATTGTATCCAATACTTTCTTGCCCTTCCCTTGAATTCTTGAATCTTTAACTCCTATGGATTTGATTCATCATATCCACATTAGATCAAGGTATCAACTAATCATACTAAACAATCTTCATATGTCTATCTAGGTTTATTGTCATACTAAACAATCTTTCATATGTCTGTCTTGGTTTATTGTCACTCCGTGTCCGTGATATCTATTATAGTTCTTGCCATTTTATCACATGTTTTAATTTCTAATTCACCAAGACAATGACAATTGTTCCTTTCTTTCACAAATTACAAGCTATATTAACTCATTTGAACAGTAATATCAAAACCAAACAGGTCGATAAATAATATTGAGAGTAAAATGTTGATTCATTGCAAATAATAAATCATATTATTATTATTAGATTACCAAGTCTCGTTCAGAAATCAGATTTAATCATTCCCAAATTTGTTTTATTATAAGAAAGGTAGAATGAGAGTGTTCCATTATCGGACGAATTAAAAGACGGAACAGAACAATTAAAACCAACTGAAGATAACAGATTCTTTACTGGTAACTGCATGGAGGACCTCTTGTCCTGAAACCCTTAAAAGGTTTTTACAACACTACAGATGTAAGCTTCAACATAAACCCCCAAAATTTAATATAGATCATCGTTCTTTCCATCAGTCATGGAAGAACCAATAAACACAGTGACTACTCAAAAACACAGAAATAGAGAATCAGGAACCACCTGCATGTTGACCCACTAAATCGAGGCATGCATGTGGGCTTAGCCTATCCTTTGACCCACTAAATCCTTTGAAGACAAAGGACAAATGATTCCTTATAAACCTATTTCAAGTTCTTATAAACTAGCCTACTTTCCTACTTTTATATTTTCCAACACATACCAACTTAATAGATAACTATTAGTACACGTACTATATCGTTATATGTAATGGTAATACACAATTACTGTTTTAACCCCACATGTTTTTTCTTGGATGTATTGTTCAGTAAGTAGTTTTTGAATCTATTGTGTCTTTGAAGTCACCATATTATTCAAATACTTGCTAATCTGACATGGCGACAGTTTTTCATCTTTAGTTAACACTATATCATGCTTTCATTTTAAGTTGCATGGTGAAAGAAGCCACCCAAGGATAGCTACTCATTCTCCTCATGCATCCGTTTGGACTCGTTGGTGAGTTCAAAGTCACAGATTCTAATGCTAAAGCTACATAGATGAGTGATCCATCAAAGTAGATTGCTTGTAGTTTACACCAATTGGTAACCAATTAAATATCCAAGTATTAAATCTTCTTTCCTTTGTGGGACCACAATTACATAAAGGTGGGCCATCAAGAAACCATTATCCCACTTGACATCACAAAGTAACAAAAGCACATACTTTCTTTTGTAATGTTGTCAGATCCATGTTTATATATAAAAGCCAAAAACCCCCCCACAAGCCCTACCCCACACACCAACACGTGGAAAAATAAACATATTCATATATAGTTATATACTCCATCCTTCTCACACATCACTTTCCAACTAACATGGTTATTATTAATAGTATCATGATCAAATCTTTATCTGCATCACCTGACATGTCACTCTTCTTTTCAGGTATACAAAATCCCAACAAATATAGCATGCTAAAAACTCTTCTTTTCTCTCTTTTACTTTTTCCATTTCCATGCAATAAATACTAATATACTAGCATAAACACCAAACACCAACAAGATCAAGAAACCAAAGCATGTGACTTGAGAAAAACACAAGATTGGCAAGATTAAAAGTCAATTTCAATTTTCTTTTTTCAATAAAAGGGATGAAAATCTAGAATCTTTTCACCATTATGCTAAAAGCAAGATGCACATCTAATATTAACTTTTTTAGAAACTACACAGATGCCAACTTTCAGAAAGTGGAAGAAATTAAATTACATACCTGCCATGCCATTACTCTGAGCTGTGTTGATAAAAAAAGATTTGGTAACCCCCAAAAGCTACCTAGTATCTTTATTGACATGTACAAAAAAGGTTATATACTTTGTCAAAAGTTAACTTAGTTCAAAAGATTCGGCTTAAGTGTTAATTAGACAAACATAAGCACTAGGATGAATTGGAGGGTGGAGAAGGGAGTGTATCAAACTAATTATCATAGTGGAAGACAATATTGCCCTTGTGGCACTACGCTGGGCATTTCACTAGCTGTAACATATCGCTGAGGGTTAAGTTTCTGCATAGTGGAAGAGGCTCCACCAGATGATGACGTGTCAGTTGTTGTAACCAATGGCCCTCGACTATGAAACTTTGCAAAACGATTGATCACTGAAAACTTTTCCAAATCTTGAAACTCCACCTTTATGTCAACAATCGAAGATCCTTCTTTCTCCCACCTTCATTCAACATTTTATAATTCATTAAAATATGCAAGTAAAACCATAATGTATAATATGCGATTGTTATTTGTTACCTCAATAACATGTCTTCCAGCCTCTTTGATCTATCGATAAAACCTTCTACAACTTTTAAAAGACTACCCTGTTCAACACTGCTTCTAGAAGTCCTACATGCATCACCCAGACCAAAATTTAGCAACATAGTACGTGATTGTATCACAGTGTTTAGTAGCATCTTCTGAAATGACAATATTTGGTGCAGATCGAAACAACATTTGCATAAGTTGTGTTGTTAAGATAAGTCTTCTTCTCTTTCTGTCAACAATTGACATCAAGTCTGCTACTTTTTCAGGCATCCGGTTTACAGAGTGTGCCCATTCCAGCTCAGCATTGCTGCAAAACAATGAAATTGTCATGGATTTTAAACTTTTACATGTAGTAAGAAGCTAATGGGGAGTGATCTGGTACACACCTGGTATCATGAAGCCTTGTACAACCTTCAGTTACTTCTTTATACCATGGAAGCTGTTCAAATGTAGAAACTTTTCTCTTTTTTGATTTTAAAACAACCATATTCTTTTTAGCCACATCTAACTGCTGCAAATAAATGGAAGATGAACGTGTTGCAGATGATGAAATGGGTTGACTTTTATAATTCCCACAAGCAGGATTGAAATGGGAAAGTGAGGTTACTTGAGGGACTATATCGTCATATTCCACCCTTTCTTTCTTTATGATCCTGGGATCATAGTTCATGGGTGCTTGTTTCAAAGAACACCCAAATGAAGAAACTGCATGTCCATGATTACCACTTTGGTGCATCTTACCAGATTCCATCTTCCTATTTGCTGGATATGAGGTACTAGGAGTAGGAGGGTTTTGTTGCATAGGTACATCCACCCATTTATTCGATTGTCTTCTTGAAGATGCAACCTGTTGACCAATTCCTGTTTTGACCTCAAAAGTTGACTTTTTTTCACCATCTTCCTTCTTCACTGAAACAGTTGATCTGTCCAAGAAATCAGACATACCAGAACAATCACTGTTTCTAAAAGTTACCTCCTCTGGTAAATTGTTATACAGCCATGGAGTTTGCTGTTTCCCACTTTCCAATTCCACCATATTTGAAGGCTGGTTTTCATTTGAGAGTTCTGGATTCTGAAAACTCAACCCACTCCGCTCTTCTTGTACACCAGAATCACCATTAGAGGCTTCTGCAACAGCAGTCTGCATAAGAGCACTCCAACTCCCACTTTGAAGAGAAGACTTTTTTGTCTTGTCAAACATGTTATCTCCCATATTGAACAAAACCTTCTGTTCTAATGGATCCAAAGTAGCCAAATCCTGATTCCCACTCACATATTCCATTCCACTTTCTTGAATTCCACAGAACTCTTTATATCTATCTTGGTTATTGACTTTCTGGGCTTTCCTTGTTTGACCTCCACCTTGAGAAAAAAAATGTCCTTGAAACTGAGCATGCAGAACTTGATTTTGAGGCTGTGAATATACCAATCTGTTTGGTAATCCATGAACCAAATTTGTGTCACCAAACACAAACATTTGGGATGCATCACGAACTTGCACACCATTATTTAGCATTCCATATTGAGTCACAGAGGAATACTTATTATGATGAATGGCATTTTGCTGATGGGCATCATTTAATTCTTGTAGTTGTTTTTGCCTCTGAAGTTCTTGTAGCTGCTTAATTTGTCTTTCCAACATTTGAAACTCATTAAATTTGAGACTTCTACCTATAAACAAATGCAAAAGGAACATTACACTTTGCAAGAATATATGACTTTTGTTTTGCATTTACTTTTTTGAAATTTCGCCAAAATCATTCTTTCTTGCAAATTACATGTTTTTTTTTTTTTGACAAGGAAGATGGTTAATTGGCAATGAAAGGACAAAAAATTAACAATGTAACTGAAACACATATTATGCCTTTCCAAAAATTTAAGACATATAGAAGCTTCTCTTTTTAACCAAATTTTGATAATATTAGCCAAGTTTCGGAAGCGAAACCACTTTCATTCATATTTGTAATTAATTTAATGTCTTTATGCTAGGTCAGAAACAATAGAATAGTATAAATTCAGGAAGTCCCAATCAACTACAATTTCAAGGAAAAGGTAAACCAATTTCAAAGAACAAACACTTAAGCACTAGAACCAAGCAAAACCCTCTGTGGCAAAAACACTTGCACGTGAGCTTAGGGCCCAAATTATCGACTGACAAGTTAAATTTGGGGCAAATCCGAAACTCAAACCCCAGAAAAACCTCTGCATGAAACCAACCTTGAAAAGTTTCCTAAAAATAGAAAGAAAAACTAATAATGTCGAACTATTTATCCAAGAAAATGCTAAGCTTTAGCGGAATTACAGCTACCAGTACAAAGTTATTGAGCGTACAAGTTAAAACACAAATGAAGCCAATAATCAGCTAAAATGGATATAATAATATATAAGGGTTTAAAGCTTGTGATTCAAATGGAATTTCTTTTTGGGGGGTTTTGATGAAAATAGTGTAAAAACTCTTACTTTGGAAGGTCTCCTTTCCTTTTAACTAGGGAAGAATCCCGCCTTGCGTACGCCAAAGGAATGGACAAAATGGGAAGAGTTACATGGAGACTGCATTGCTTGTGCTTGTGTTGCTGATCCAAAAAAATATTCCATTCACTTTCAAAAGGGCAAAATGCATGCAATTTTTAACCAACAAAACTTTACATTCAGGGCCTATTTATAGAACCCAATGTCACAAATTACTACACTGTGTCATATTTGAGTGCAGGAACTGTATCTAGGGGTATTTTAGAATCAAATAATGAAAAAAGATGCAAATTACTAATGAATAGCAGTGTAGTAATTGTTGGTCTTGGATATTCCCATTCGTGGGTTCAATATATGAAGCATAAGGATCTGATACAATCTCTGAAACTTCTTTTTGAAGCATAACGATACATTATAATGAAAGATTTTAATCCTACAATAATTAAAAAAATGTCGGTAAACTGAAATTTTCTATTAGAATCAATTATAAATAATGGTAAAAAGTAATATTGTCATCAATTTTTAGCCTTTATGCTCTTTCTCAACATACTTTCAGAAAGCCTGCAAAATATAATTATTAGTCAGATGTCTAAAACACCCTTCAATAAGAATAATTATTTACTCATTAAAATAGTTGAGAAGATTAATAATATAATTTTTCTTTTAAAGAAAATGACATTAGAAAATAAATAAATTATACCAAAATTAAGCATTATATTTGGTTTATCGCTTAATTTAAACCTAAATTGTTCAAAAAAATGAGAAACATAACCGGATTTAATCAAATGCCCAACCCTTTCATCTTCTTAAACGAAGGGCTATTATATGATGTAAATATATAAAAGCGGATAAATATAATTCATAAAACCAAAAAAAAAGGTTACCTTGCACAGGTTGTTTTTGGTTACAGGTTAAAGATATATTAAATTTTGGGTTTCATCAAAAGTTTCATGTTAAGTCCTACAATTAAACAACAACACATTACATATCAGTTTCTTCATATGTGTTTTTAATTACCTAATACAAAGTTAATGGTTGGAGTTCTTGATTTTGACAGGATTCCAGCTTCTACCTACATCAATTTTTTTGAAAAACTAAAAAAGATGGAAGAATACAATAAATGATCATTGGTTCAACTAAAATATAAATAATTAAAAACTTTTAAGTTGACTTATTTACATATAAAAGACCTTTAATCTAATTGTACATAGTGAGTGACATACCGGCTTCAGGAATGTTGTGGTGAATGCTTCAAGAAAACTCAATCCATATGCCACCTTTGTCAATAGCAACACAACTCAGTGTGAGAATAAAAAAGATACAACAATTTGCAGAAGAAAATCATATGCAATCAAATACAATCTTGTGAATGTCTACAGGTGATGATTATAAATCCCTATATAATAGATAAACAGCAGCAAAATGGAAGCATTCTCATAACTAATCAAAGGAATAAAGTCATGTTTGTATGCACCTACCTGATTAAGCAGAGATGGTTTGGCTGCTGAAAAAAAAGTTGACAGTAAACTGAGTCGGCTCAACATTTATGGGTATAAAATCCACAGCTTGGCTTTATGTATGATGTATGATCATCACCTGTAAATGTTTACAACTTTTAACTTGTTACATCCATACACGAATTCCATGCCACCTTCTCAATATTAAATACCCTTTTCTCAGAATAAAACAAAACCATTTTTATCATAAATGCTTCTAGCAATTGATAAATCAAAATCGAACTTGGGATGAATAACAATAACAATCAAAAGCGTTCAATTTGAAACAAAATGATTATGCACACCAGTAAAAAAAAATCAAAAACCGCAACATATGATTCACCAGATGCATAAAGAAAGAGGAGGTGTTTGAAAAGGACCACATCAAACTTGAACACCAGGGGTTGATTTTAAATAAAAGCTTAATTGTTAGATAATCTCACCGGTCTGTAAGTAAAACGGTGTTGTAGCGGTGGTGACCAATGAAGTAGACGCCGTTTGATCGAAACACGGTACTCGCCGGAAATCGGAGATTGATCATTGATCAGAACAACCGGAGAAATCGGAAGTGAGACATGAAGCGATGGCGGAGTCGGTGGGTCTGGCCGGAAGAAGCAGGGTGAGAGAGAAGTAGGGAATATCAGACAACGGAGTGAAGACCAATTTGTTCCCCTCTGTTTGAAAAGGCAGTTTAACGGAGGGACGGTGGAAAATTCCAGAAGCAGAACACGTGTTGAAGACCAATGACCAAAGGTGTCCATTAAGGGGCACGTGTAATCCACCATATAAATAAAATTGGATAAATAACAAAAACCAGAGCAGAAAATAAAAAAAATAAAAAAAAAAGTCAAAATTTTAACCAATAAGATCAAGGTATTGTTCACTAAGGGGCTTCAAAATTAAACTATTTATAATATATATAATGGAGATGAAGATCATCAATTTTTTTCTGCAACACACGGAAGAATGCACCTTCTTTATTTCTCTACTGCTTTCTCTCTGTATGTGCACATGTGTGTATATATATATGCGTCTCTTACTTTTTCGCATTAACTTCAACACACTTTCTCTTTCCAAAACGATAAGCGAGTTTTTTTTTTTTTTTTTTTTTTTTTTCGGACAAAGGTGCTAGATAAACACTTTGCTTATGGTTTTTTACTTTTTTATCGGTCTAGGTTCGGTTCTGAACCTGGAGGCTTGGTGCCGAGGCTGAGGTCTGGTATTCACTATTCAGTACATAGAGATCGAAGTTGAGGTTAGGGCTGCGAGAGATGTCGGTGTTGTGGTTTTAGCCGTGGATTTCGATATTTGGGGAGATCAGATCAGACGACTGATTTTGAAGAGCTGTACCATAAAATCTTCCCTTTTTTTTTCTTATCTTTCCATTAAACTTTGAATTTTATATAGGTTAAATACTATAAAATTCACTGTAAATTTATATAAATTTTCAGTTCATTGATTAGAAGAATTTTTAATTATTTAATCATAAAATGATTATTTTTTTTTCTTTTAAAGGGTGTTTACCAAAATTTGCGTATATAAGCTATAATGAAATAACAAAAAATAACTATTATAAGTTGTGTTTATGAAAATATTTTTTAGTTATAACAGTTCGTTAATAAGTTAATAAACTCATCTGTCAAACACCCTTTTTAGAAAAACTATTTAACTGCATTGAAGAAGTTTTTTTGATAATGTTGCGTAACCAAAAACTTTTAAATGATATAGAAATCCAATGAATTGTTATTTTTATGATGTTTTTGTTAACCAGTAAATATAAATATATAATCTATTTCTAAATTAATACCTAATTTCATATATATCCACAACGGGACTTGAACCATCGACATCAAAAATAGAAGGTACCACCTAATATTATTGGGCTAGAAGCCCTTTGGTTGTTATTTTAATGATGTAACCACAAAATAATCAAATAATCAATTAATATTTTAAATTTATATATTAGTTAGAGTTAATTACATCTTTGGTCCTTGTGGTTTGCATGTAACTACACTATTGGTCTAAGTATAAACAATGACGGGGGTCACAGTCAAAATAAAGGGATATCACAATTTTTTTAAGGTATCACCGCAACATAAAACGAAATTTTTCGAAAAAAAATTACACTATTAAATTTTTTTTGAGAGGGATCCCGGGTCAGAGCCACCAAACCTGGACTATCATGGTTCAAACTAGATCAGAGGCCTAGCATCTTCTTAATGTTCAACATAACAATGCTCGCTCGCATATCTAAAGAGGGAGACATATCCAGTGGTGAAGGGTTGTTTTGTGTAACACTCTAAATTTTCAAATAGATTTTTCATTTTAAAAGTTTCACACAAAACATAGTTTAACATTTCTCATGCCAAATTGAAATTTTCCCAAACACAAAACATCATAAATTGTTTGTTAAATATCCCCAGAATCCACATAAACACAAATCATCGAGCTGGTGTGTACAATCATGTCGGTGCCTTCCCGTGATCCTGAGATGTACCTGAAACACATTTTACACAAACACTGTAAGCACGAAGCTTAGTGAGTTCCCCAAAATACCACATACACAAATAATTAGCCTCTCATGGCTATATCTCGATGAGGACCCTCCGGTCATGTGTCTCAGTGAAGACCCTCCGGTCTCACGTCTCGGTATGGACCCTCCGGTCGTAACTCAATATACACACAGAATAATATAACAACATAAGTCACAAAGACAAGATGCATAATAACACATAACTCAGTATAAGCAAATAAGACCCTGCGGTCAATAACACAAATAAGACCCTCCAGTCAATAACACGAACAAGACCCTCCGGTCACACATAAATTACCACTCAGGTAAGTATAATGAGAAGACTCACCTCGTGAAGTAAAGTAAGTAAATCCTGCACCCGAACTGTCGGTCTAGACTCCGCCTAACATATGTCACATATACCTCTAATTAAAAATTGATATTAACAACCCTCAAAGATGTTGGCTAAGTCTCTCTACTAAACCTCATAAGGGTAAAAGACCATTTTACCCCTCCATGGCCTCCGAAGTCCACAACTTGACCAAAACCCTAAAAGTCAACGGAAGTCAACACCCAGCGCGTACGCTGGGCGTACAACCCTCTACACTGGGTGTACAACTAATCATGCATGCATCGAGGTGGACTCAGCGCTACGCACGGCGTACGTCCCAGACTTCCTCTTTTCACTCATTTGGTCTTAATCCGTTAAGACAATTGCTACCACTACAGATCAGGGCTGATTAAGGTCCATTACTCCATAAAGTTGGTGACTTTAAGCCTTAGCATGGTTGGACAAGTCTAAAACTCATAAACTCTAATCCTTTACTCACAAAGGTCCACATATCTCATGCATGGAGAGATCTTGACGACCAAGATCTCATTTTTATGAATCCAAACGTCTAAAAACACCAAAAAGGACAGGTATTATGCTCTGGAGTTCACCAAACTCATAAAGCTTCAAGTTTAGGACATAAAACCCTAAAAATGGACCAAAACATGAACTAATCAAAACAATGAGAAAGCTTTGAGCTTGATACCTCTGGATGATGCACCAACCACAGAAAAACTCAGATCCAAAAGCTTGGACACCAACTCTTCTTCCTTCAAGGCTCCTTCTTCACAAAAGAACTCCACAAGAACACTCAATAAGCCACAAATGCTCACACAACCTATGGAAACGAGATTTAGGGTTTGAGGAGAGATTGGGGCTGTAAATGGTGGCTAGAAATGAGGCCATCATGTTCCTTAAATAGGGGCACACAAGGCATTAGGGTTTTCACTTTGAGCCTAGTACGCCCAACGTACCCTCTGGTACGCCCCGCGTACTAGGTGGCCTCCGCGTTCCTACAAAGCACATGAGTACGCTGAGCGTACACATGCATACGCCCCGCGTACTCAACTGCCACCTTTTTCTCAATAAGGACTAGTCTAGACAAATGCAATAAAAGTTATGGTCATCAATGCATACCTTATTTCGGGATGTTACAATTCTCTCCCACTAGGATCAGACTTCGCCCTCGAAGTCATCCTCTGGAAACAGCTCTAGGTACTGCTTGCGCATCTCGGTCTCCGGCTCCCAAGTCCACTCCGAACCTCTACGATGCTGCCACTGAACTTTAACCGGTTGCACCTCCTTGTTCCTCAAAGTCTTTACTTTCCTATCCAATATCGCTACCGGCCTCTCAATATAGTTCAGGCGATCGTCAACTTGAATGTCCTCTAAAGGAACCACTGCCGTCTCGTCGGCTACATACTTCCTCAACTGGGATACATGGAAAGTGTTATGAATCTGGCTCAACTCCTCAGGCAGCTCTAACTGATAAGCTGCCTTACCCACCCGCACAATCACCCTGAAAGGACCAATAAATCTAGGGCCCAGCTTTCCCCGCTTCCTGAATCGGATCACCCCTTTCCATGGGGATACCTTCAGGAGAACAAAGTCGTCGACCTGGAATTCTAGCTCTGAACGCCTTCGATCTGCGTAACTCTTCTGACGACTCTGGGCCGTCAGCAACCTCTGTCTAACCTGCTAGATATGCTATGTCTTCTTGAGCACTATCTCGGTGCTCCCCATCACTCTCTGTCCGGCCTCCCCCCAACAGATAGGATTTCGACATCTCCTCCCATATAAAAGCTCAAAGGGAGGCATCCCTGTAATGCCTGGTTCCCAGTATGCATTTAACTTATTTATTTATTCATTTTGGAAGGGCTACTCGACGAGTTGGTGGCCCTAACTCGTCGAGTAGAAGACAGAGTATGTGCGGGTTTTAAGTGAACTACTCGACGAGTAGGACGGCCAGGATGAAACCCTAATCTTTAGGGCTTGCATCATATCACCTCTATCACCTCGAAACCCTAATCAACTTTGAGTGATCTTGAGCTATTTTCTTGCCATTTTTGTGATTTAAAGCTAGAAGAAGGAAGCAAGGACTTGGAGTTGCAGGAGGAAGGTTGAAGATCCAGAGCTTAGGATTCATTTTTGTCTTGATAGAGGTATAAAGCTTATACCTTGGCTTCTATTCACTTAGATCTTCATTTGAGCTTGCATATTGTCACTTTTGGGCCATTTCCAAGGTAATTTTCGAGATTTGAACTCTTGGTGATGTAAGGACTTCAGATCTGGGAACTCTTGAGCTTTAGAAGCTCAAAGTTGCCACCTTTATTCAGCCATAGCCCTATTCCATGACTTATACCTCCATTTTAGCTTGTGGTGGGTGTTTTAGCTTCATAACACCATGCATGCACGTAAAGTTAGCAACTTTACGTGTAATGCTAGTCTAAGGAGTCCGGATCTGTGAGTTGGAGGTATTGGCATTGATTAGAATCGAATGTATGGATTTGACATTGGGGGACTCGACGAGTTGTTCATGCGACTCGGCTAGTCGGGTCGTGGTCCCCTAACCTTTTTTGGTTTTGAGTGAACCGTTGAGTCTAGGAGATGACTCAGCGAGTTGGGCAAGATTAGGACTCGAAAACTGAAGAACTCGACCAGTCCAAGGAGGGACTCGACGAGTTAAGTCGTTTTGTCCCGATTTTATGACAGGAAGAACTCGACGAGTTGACTCGGTTGACCACGAGTCTGAGTAGTACATGAACTCGCCGAGTTGGGAGATAACTCGACGAGTTGGGGTTGACTGGGAGTTGACCTTGACTTTGAATTTGACCCCAAACGTTGACTTTGACCAGGGGTAAAATGGTCATTTTACCCTGAGAAGGATTATCAGATTTTTGACTAAGTATTATTGTGAT